GGCTGAACCGGATGATAGGCGTCCCTCACGGCGGTCCCGATCCTCCAGCGATATTCCTCAACATTTCCGTGCGGCTGTGGTGTCCATTTGATCGTTTAACAGCCACCGGATCGCGTTCCTTGATTCAATTTTCCATTACTAGTTCATTCGTGCTATAACGGATCGATTCTCACTATATTTTGTGCGATCTATTATCATAGGTTGGCCGAGCTTTCCGAGGCTTCTCCGTGCTGTCCTTGATCTGAATACGGAGGCCGGATCGCTCGATCGTGCGTCGAAGCATCGTTAAACAAGGTAAGTGCACTTGAACGTGATTCTGCGAATTCGTGTTCTGGAAAATCTGCACGTTTGAGATGCTGATTTGAGTTTGTTAACGTCGAAATCTCGCAAAACGATGAACTAGAGAATCATAGAACGTGTTTTAAGCTTCGATTTGACATATTGCATGCCTCGATCGGACTTGATTTGCTATGTCAAAACACTGTTAGAAGTTAGGATCAGAATCAGAATCATAATGTTCAAGTCTGTTCTGATATTCTCCTGACTGACGTTGTGCTACTTGATGATTTTTATGATTTTCTATGATCATTTTTTTAAAAAACGTTCCGCATGAAAGTTGTAGAACACTTCTAGATCTGTTCATCATAAAATTTTCATAAAATTCCAAGCATGTTTTCCTTGTACGATGTGCAACGTCATGTGTGCATGAATCTGGTGACAGATTAGTTTCAGATTGACCTTCGTGTGTTCTTCGATTTTCATAAATTCGTGTGTTCGAAATATGAAAAAGTTTTCTTCACGAGAGTTCACGCTGAGATCGAGATCTTTCTATTGATATTGATTTCATCAAAATCAGAGGTCATTTGAATTTTCAAAAGAAATTTTCACAATCTGATCAGTATCTGTGTCCAGATCTGATTTTCATTCCTTTAGAGTTCAAAAGATGTTTCTCCGAATTTGATGAAGTTAGAGTACTTTTTAGCAAAAACTCAAAACATGAAAGTTGTTGCACACGAAGAATCCTAACTGCCTAAAAATTTTCACACGGTTTTGATAAGGTTTGTTATTTTTCCCGCCATTATTTTGAAATCCTTAACAGAACCGAGTCCAGCCTGTCACTGAGATCAAATTTGATATTTTCGGGAAAATTGGCTAGGATTTAGAAAAAATGGTCTGCTTGACTTTCGATCCTCATGTCATAAGCTTTCTAATGACTCCTGAATCATTTCATTTGGACGTCATTAGAGTAGTTAATCACATCTGAATAGAAGCAATCCGAATTAGATAATAATTGAATAAGTGGTCTCCTTATGAAGCCCACTTCTCATCGTTTGATTGGCTTCGAAATAAGGCCCATGGGCCTGAATGCATGCTTATTTCATTGCTATGCATGTGTTTGTTAGATGAATGTTAGGCCCGGTGCATGTTCGGCGGGTAGTCCATTGTGGTCACTTAGAACCCGACTTTAGGGGTTAATTGATATGAGTTGCCGTTTTGTGAATGCAAATGGTAGCCCGTTATCATTAACCATTGATCAAATAATATTAGATGATTAGGTGGGTGGTGAATCGAAATGCATGAAAAACAAAGGCCAATCCCGAGGCCCGTGCTTGATTAGTGAATTGTTTGCACCATTGTTTTTCTTTGGTTATTCTTTTGGACATTGTTTGTCGTGAATGTATGTTGTGAATGTAAATGCCGACACCCGAGAGACAATCCATGGGAGGATAATCCAAAATGGTGAAAGACCAAGACGATTGACCGATGTCCAATCCGGTCTCAATTTGTATTCATTTAATGATGGCGATAGACCGATGTCCGATCCGGTTTCAATTTGTATTCAATTCATTCATTCCCGATCATGTCTCGGGTTTTCAATTTGTGTTGTAATAAACACCCGACGAGTTACGGGTTTGTACTTTTCTCGCACTTAGAATTAGCTCGTTTTTTCAATACTTTGAGTGTTTACTTTACGTAATGCCTTTCAATACAATCGTTTCTTTCTTTCTTTTCTAGACTAAGATAGGATTAGTTTAGAATCTCAAATGAAAATAACAAAAACAAGATGCATGATCACATTATGGACCAAAACTTTGGCATGAAAATGGTAAAGAACAAATGCATGACAACTTAGATAACAACCATATTAAGTTTAGCGGTACCGAAAGGGCGTTAATAGAAATATTAACGTAAGCTAGTCCCCGAACCTTTGATCTCTGGTTTTCGTAGAAACCAAGACGAAATTCCCACGTATTGGTTAGGTATTCTAGCCGACCTCCGACCTAGGCTAGTGGCGACTCCTTAAAAGATAAAATTGATCCTCTGTCGCGCGAGGTATGAATTAGGGAAGATTCACGTTCATGAATAATGGACTGTACGGATGAACCATCTTTCATGATGTACCGTATAGACTGTTTCATGAACACTTACCTCTAAACCCGCCCCATCAAGTTCGGTCCTCGAGGGGTAGGTCGCGACAGGCTTGGCAACTCCGCTGGGGACTAGGTTACAAACCTAAAGTGGATTAAAGCCGTAATAAACTTGTTGGTTGTTATCTTACTTGTCTACATTTTGTAGCATCGAATGCATGTCGAAGTCGCGCGGAAAATGAGGTTAGTCCACTAACCATGTGTTAAATGGTTTTGTAGGTGGGAGACATAAGGGGTGGAGTGAATGCAAACCCTTTGTTTTGTAGGTGGCGTTCGGGTGAATGTCGAATGTATGAGATTATGTTGAAGTGTTGTTTGCTTTAGATTTAAATGCATGTTTACTTGCTTTAGCACGACACAATGCACCCACGTCCCGCGGTCTAAAACCCCGGATCGCTTTAGGGCTCCTTTAGGAGGTATTAAGAGTGGAATCCACATGTGAATGCATGTGGTAATCCATTCTTTAATACCGCTCATCTTGATTAGTAAGAAGTGCACCGACCGACGTTAGTAGCGGTGGGTAAACTCTTCTTATCTAATTAAGATGAGGACCTTAAACCTTTAGAATCCTACCCTTAGATGTCGAACCTCACATGTCCTCATGCGATGTGTCGATGTGTTTGCCATTTTCTCTTCGTGGTAAGGTTGATTGTATCGTTCTGCAATTTCAATTACGCCATTTCAATTCCACGTTATATTTCTTTCTAATAATGCGTGGTGATTAATCTCGATGCCCCAAATTAGGGTTAGTCAAAATGGATATGTCGGAGATTCGAATCATCCCCGTACCTAGAGCTCTCGTGGTCATGTGGGAAAGTCTCGAGTCAAAGCACAAGGACTACGTGGAAAAGAGGATCGGATATCTTCCCACACTCTTATACGTCGAGCCTCGTATCGCCATGATTAAGGCATTGTCTCATTTTTGGAACTCAAAGACATCGACTTTTGTGTTTGGTCGAAATGAGTTGACCCCTACAATTGAGGAGTACGATATTGCCATTGGAAGAGTCGGGTCTTTTGGTCTAGTTAGTCCTCCGATAGATATAGATCCAATAACTCTTTTGAGCCAATTCTTAGGAGTCGACATTCTCCAAATCAAAGGCGTCCTTAGAGGAAATTCCAATGCACTCTCCTTCGCATTCTTAGAACGATATTTTTCTAGCTTGCCAAAAGAAGCGGGTAATCAAATTCCTCGAGTCTTTCTCTTAGCATTCTTTGGTTTTGTGGTTTTTCCATTCACCAAAAAGACCATGGATCCTTTGGTAATTCATATTGTCAATCAAGTGTGTATGTTCAAAAGATTTTCCAATATGATCTTAGGTGAGACCTTTGTATCACTCAATAAGTTCGAACAAAACAGAAATGGTGTCTTTAGAGCCCCAATAGGTTTACTCCAAATTTGGTTGGTCTCTCATCTCAAAGACTTCGGTTTGAGCTTGAAAATCATAGATGTGTCCAAAGATTGTCATCCTATCTCGCTCTTCCGAGAAAAGGAAGAAATCTTTCCTTATTGGTCATTCTCAACTTGGTTTAACTTTTTCAAGAACCTTGTTCCAAATCAAATCCAATGGCATGTTCGTTGGCTTGGAAATCCCGAGGTACGCCTTAATAATGGATCCGACAACCCAATCCCACTTTTGGGTCTAACGGGGTCTACGTCATATTACCCTTTTAGGGTGATCCGTCAATATCGCGTGCTTCAAAAGATTCCACCATTTCTCAAGCTGGGGTTATATCATTTTGACTATCGCAAAGATGTCATCCAAAAGGACCAAATGGCGGATTTGAAAGAAATGATCACGTCTATCATTGATATGTGGTACAAATGCCACCCGGAGCCGATTCTCATTACCGATGAGTCAGAATTGGAAGGAGAAATGAAGATACATCATGCATTGCCGGATTACATACACCGTCGTCTCGAGCCCGAGCTTAAAGTGGATCTCCCCAATGTCCCCGAGAAGCCAACTCAACAGCAAGCTATAGCCGCAAGAGCTCTTAGGGAAAAGGATGAGGCTTTAGTCGAGGTTGAACGTTTGACCCAAGAAAACAAACGAATTCGCCTCGCACCTAAAGAAGATCCATTAGGATTTTGGCTATATTCCATGAGGAAATCTCCTTTCATGTAATTTTCGTTTTATAGATTTGATGTATAGGGTTTCCTTTTTACTCATGATGTAATAGGATTCTCCTTTTGTTTCTAGATTGATGTATAGGGATTATATTTCACGAAATTTTGTTGTTAATAGTGAAATTTCCCTTTTATGTGCTTTTCCGAGGATTCCAATGGAATATAGATGGGGCATCTTGATTAATCATCGCGTGTTACCCCTTCAATTGTATAATTTCTTGTGAAGAAATTTTGATAAGAGATCATTCACATGGTATTGGGATCATGAGAATATTTCTTATCTCTATTTCATCCAAAGAAAATATAAAATTGAAGGGTTTTATATTTTCGTCTCAATTCATTTTCCATATACTAACTTGATTTCTGTTTTTTCTGCAAGAACAAGGTATTAAAATACGGCTGAATCGCATTCTATTATACGCACCCGTCGCCAAGCAAGGATGGAAAATGAGGACACTCGTAGCCGCGTTATTACCATTGAGAATCAAATGGCGCAAATGATGGCACTCTTGACTGATCTTGCAAATCAAGTAAAGAACTTCACGCCTGTGGCTCCTCCTGCCGCAGCTTCTACTCCTAAGGCGCCTGTTAATGCACCGACGATAGATCCTGTCGACAAAGGACCTGCTGAAGAGGTCCCTGTTAATGCTATGCCTGCTGTCATTGATTTGGAAGCTCCACCTAAGGAGTCGCCTGTTGTTCATATGGATGAAGAGAGTGCGAGACGTCTCGCAAAATTGGAAGAACGCTTATGCATGTTGCAAGGTTACCAACTCCAAGGCTTTGATAAGCTATCGCCTTTTACAAAAGTGAAAGTCCTTGATTTTTACAAGGAGCCCGAATTTTCAAGGAAATACGATGGAACTGGGTGCCCTAAGACCCACTTGAGATACTATTTGAATAAGATGGCTCGTTACTCCGATAATACTCCGCTGTTGGTCAACAATTTTCAAGATAGCTTGGCTGATTCCGCATTGACATGGTTTATCGAGTTGGATTTGGAGAAAATTTGTACCTGGGAAGACCTCGCAGAAGAATTCCTTCAACAATACAAGTTTAATACTGAAATTGCTCCAACCCGTGAAGAGCTGGTCCGGGTTGATAAAAGGAGAAATGAAACTTTTAGAGCGTATGCCCAAAGGTGGAGAACTACGGCGTCCCAAGTTAAACCTCCGCTGTCCGAGAAGGAGATCATGCAACTGTTTCTTCGAGCTCGACCTCGAGAATACTTTGATAAGATGTTTAATAACACTTACATCAATTTTCCCGCAATGGTTGAATTGGGAGAACGTATCGAAGGAATCATGCGAGAGGGTCGATTACCCGAGACGACGACTCGTAGATTTATCCAAAAGAAGGATAAGGAGCCAATGGTGGAGGTTGCTTATATTCAAAATCCTAATACTCAAAAGCCATTAAACTCACAAGTTCAAAGGTCTGTTATGGAAGCAGGGGGCTCTTCCCGAAATTTTGATCGAAAAGGAAAAGCTCCACAAAGACAATTTACTCCGTTGCCAAGACCTATGTCTCAGTTATTGCCGATGTTGATTGAACAAAGACTCGTAGCAAAAGAAATCCCGAGAGATAACCCACCAAAGTTTGTTGGGTTTGATTTATCAAAATCTTGTGTGTACCACATGGGTGAGAAAGGTCATGATGTGGACAACTGTTATACTCTCAAGGTCAAGATTCAGAACCTGCTGGATAAGAAGATCTTGTCATTTAAAGATGCTACACCAAATGTTCAACAAAATCCACTCCCCAATCATACCGAAACCGTTAATGTGATATTTGGAGACAAGAATGAGAAACCCTTCTTGTTCGATATGGTGAAGTTGGAAGAGCTATTGACCGTAGCTAGATGTCAACCGAAAGAAGGAAATGTATCCCGAGAGGAGAAAATGTATTGCCTAGCCAAGATGGCTGCTTTAGGCATAATTCAGCCTCCTCAAGGAAAGAAACCCGAAGGGTCCATTGAGACCGCTGTAATTGATTGGTTGTCCGAAAAATTCTCTTGTAAGTTCGCGGGTGAAGTCTCATGCTCTAAGCCAAAAGATGATGGATACGAGCCAGACATTGACGAACTTTGGAGTGACAAGTATTCCGATGATGACTTGGAATGTGAGAGCAAGAATGATCGTCGAGGTCATGAAATTATGAAGAAGGCCCATGAGAAAGACATCGTTCCAACTGAATGGGACGGCGAAGATAATAGAGAGGCTCTTTCCGATGCTAATTCGAAATTTGAACGACATACATCCCACTAGGATCGGGAGTTTGTTAGGAAAGCAATTGAAAAAGGCGAAATTGTTGATACTCTCGGGCAGCCGAGCGGTAAATATGACTTCATGGTAAAATACTCTCCTCCTCCAAGCGCTTTTATCGACCCTAAGACTATCGTCCCAAGTGGATGGGGGTCAGAATTCGAAGATGATGGCATGGTAGCCGTGATTGATCCTGTCGTGATTGAATTGAATACTATGCGTGAAATCCAAGCGCATGTTGTGGAACTTGTGGTTATAGATTTAATGGCTGATGGCGTTGAGGATATAAAGATCTTCGGGGAGGACTTTGAGCTTATTGTGATCGAGCTGCCACCGAAAAAGCATGAGAATTTGAAGGCAGGAATACCCCCTGTTTATGACCCCAAAGCGGTTCCTTGGAACTATGAGTCTAATGAGATAGATGCTGTTACTTGGTCAGGCCGATGTTTTCCATCTCGTGAAGGTGTCGAGAAAAAGGCTGTAACCGAAGAGGAAGCAGAGCAACTCCTCAAAACCCTCAAAATGAGTGAAGCAGAAGTGATCGAGCAGTTGAGAAAAATGCCGGCTCAGATCTCGTTACTTGAACTATTCAAGTCTTCTGAGAAACATAGGAATGCCCTTTTAAAAATTCTTAATGAAGTACATGTACCCGAGACAATTGGAGAGGTACAGTTGGAAGAGTTTGTAGGTGCTATCCTTCTTAAGGATCAAATTTCTTTTTCGGAAAAGGACTTGCCGCCGGAAGGGCGAGCACATTCTAAAGCATTATACATCTCTGTTCAACACTTGGATACAAAGATATCGAGAGTACTCATTGATAACGGTTCAGCTCTCAATATATGTCCGTTAGCAACCTTGCGCCGCCTAGGTGTAGGTATGGATAGTGTTCGTCCTTCTAAAACTCCAGTCAGAGCCTTTGATGGCATGAAGAAGAAAGCTCTAGGAGAAGTTGACTTGCAGCTGATGATTGGTCCAGTCATGTTCACTCAGAAATTTCAAGTGCTCGACATCCCAAGTAACTTCAGTTTATTGCTGGGACGACCTTGGATCCACGCTGCGGGTGTAATACCCTCAAGTCTACATCAGATGATCCGCTTTGTCGTGTGTGGCAAGATTATAACTGTCCATTGTGAGAAAGACACCGAAACCTTCAACAATATTGCAATTCCCTACGTGGAGCCAGAAGTAAAAGGAGAATCAAGCTACCATTCATTCGAGTTAGTGTCAGTATCTCATGTGCCCACAGGTACCGTTATAAGAAAGCCTCACTATTCAAAGGCGGCCCTTATGTCTAGCAAAGTGTTAATCGAGCACGGATTTACTATTGGCAAAGGATTAGGGAAGTTGTCCCAAGGCATTCTCACACCCATTGAGGTGACTAAGAGAAAGAAACGAGAAGGCTTAGGTTACCAAGGCGATCGACAGGATCAAGGTAATCAGAAAAGCCCGAGCATCAAAGAAAAGAGTTATCGACGTTTGCTCCCTCCTCCACTGAAAGATTTCTTCCCTGGACCGCCAATGTTTCTCCAAGATGAAGAAATAGACATCTATGGTATCGTCGACCTATTTGAAGAGAGTTCTGTGGGTGCCATTTCCGAAAGCTTTGAAGATGATCTACCTACTGATCCCGCTGTGTAAGGGATGTTTCCGTGTTTTACTTTGTTTTCAGTTGTAATCCATCTAATTCTCCCCTGCGAGGGACTTTCATTTGTTCATTTGTTCATTCGTTCATTGTATTCGTTCATTTCATATGTTGTAATAATTTGGATCATGAACTTTGGATCCAAAACATTATATGACATTTACTGCATATCAATAAAAGCATTCTCATGTTTTGTTAATAGACGTGCGAAAGTATACCGAACCAGCCCTATGATGATGCTTTGAGGCCTGGGCTTTTGCACGATCTATAGATTTCAAAACAGTCTTTTGGAACAAGGATGTCCAATGATATGAGGACAAGTTCCCCATGAAATTTTCGAAAATCTGGAATTCGAAAAGTTTTTTTCATCACATCTTCATGCATTGCATTTCTTATATTCATATACTAACCATTTTTTTTGTTGTTGCATCTCAGGCATGACACTTTGCATAATCATGATAGTCATATGCATGGCTTGGATTCGTACCCAAAAAACTCTTACGAACCTGATTATTCTGATCCTGAAAATGAAGAAGATTCCCAGGTTATTAAAAAAGAATGGATCCGACATGAAGAATCCAAGCCTCCCACAGAAGAGCGAACTGTTATTATAAATTTGGGTGATTCTGAAAATCCCAAAGAAACAAAAATTGGGGCAGGTCTCTCTCAAACAGATGCCGATCGACTAATCAAACTCTTGAAGGAGTACCGGGATGTCTTTGCTTGGTCTTATGCTGATATGCCGGGTCTAGACCCCGACATTGTAGAACACACATTACCTCTCAATCCTGCCATTCCACCTAAGAAACAGAAGCTTAGGAGGACGAAGCCAGAATTATCTAAGAAGATTGAAGAAGAAGTCATGAAACTGTTAAAAGTTGATTTCATTGAAGTTACTCATTATGCCGACTGGATTGCTAATATTGTCCCAGTCATGAAGAAGGATGGGCGAGTTCGGGTATGTGTCGATTATCGTGACTTGAACAAAGCAAGTCCCAAAGATGATTTCCCATTGCCACATATTGACGTCTTGGTCGACAGCACGACAGGATTCGAATTGTTTTTCTTCATGGATGGTTTCTCTGGCTATAACCAAATCCGAATGAAAGAAGGAGACAAGACTAAAACATCTTTTATCACCCCATGGGGAACATTCTGTTACAAGGTTATGCCCTTCGGCTTGAAGAATGCAGGGGCAACTTACCAAAGAGCTATGGTGACACTATTCCATGACATGATGCATAAAGAGATTGAAGTGTATGTCGACGACATGATTGCTAAATCACGACAAGGTGAAGGTCACATTGAAGTCTTGAAGAAACTGTTCGATCGACTTAGAAAGTTCAAGCTAAGGCTTAATCCCGCTAAATGCGTGTTTGGGGCAAAGTCTGGAAAGCTCCTTGGATTTATGGTTAGTAACAAGGGCATCGAGATTGATCCCTCGAAGGTGAAGGCCATTTGCGATTTGAAACCCCCTTCTACTGTTAAGGAGTTTCGAAGCTTGTTGGGAAGACTGAATTATGTTGCAAGATTTATTTCCCAATTATCTGAAATAGCCAAGCCATTTTTCAAGCTGTTGAAAAAGAATGCCAAAGTTGAATGGAATGAAGATTGTCAAAAATCCTTTGAGCAATTAAAGCAGTATCTTTCACAACCACCAGTTTTAGTACCGCCTGCTTCAGGTATACCTTTGATTTGTATCTCACCATTCACGATGAGTCTTTAGGAGCTATGTTAGCGCAGAAGAGATCGGAGGATGGAATGGAACGCGCTATTTACTACCTCAGCAAGAAATTTACTTCTGGTGAAGCTCGATACCCTGAAGTTGAGAAAGCATGTGTAGCCTTAATTTGGGTATTACACAGATTACGGCAATACACTCTTTACCATCGTATCCTACTTGTGAATGAAAATGATCCCATCAAATATCTTTTGGAAAAGCCTGCACTAGTTGGAAGGCTTGCAAAATGGCAAATATTGCTTTCTGAATTTGATATCCAGAGCATGTCTCAGAAGTCCGTTAAAGGGCGAGCCATAGCTGACATGTTGGCTGAAAGTCCCTTAAAGTCAGACGACTGGGATGAAATTGATGAAAGAATCCATTTGGTGTCACATGACAAGTGGACCATGTATTTTGATGAAGCTGTTAACCTCTCCGGTTCTGGCACCGGAGCAGTCCTAATATCCCCAGCAGGTCAGCATTATCCAGTAGCTGCAAAGTTGGTATTTCCTTGTACCAATAACATTTCAGAATATGAAGCTTGCATCCTCGGTCTCCAATTAGCCATCGATATGAAGGTTAAGAGATTACAAGTCTATGGTGATTTCGCGCTTATCATTCTCCAAACAGGAGGTGAATGGCAAACTCGTGATTCAAAACTGATTCCTTACCACGAATATCTTAAAGACTTGGTGGAAGAATTCGAAGAGATCTCATTTGATTATTTGCCAAGATCTCATAATCAATTTGCTGATGCTTTGGCGACATTATCTTCAATGTTACAAGTAACCGATGGTTTGAATATTGATCCTTTGCAAATCGATATTTTGAAAGAGCCTGCATATTGCATGGTTATAGAAGAGGAACTCGATGGTCAACCATGGTACTATGACATTATGAATTATCTTCGAGAAGGAAAATTTCCCCAAGGAAGTCGAGCTACTGATTGTGTAGACACCAAAGAGGCCAATTTATTAATGAAAGAGATACATGAAGGAGAATGCGGTCCTCATATGAACGGCCATCTTCTAGCAAGGAAGATCATGAGGCTAGGTTATTACTGGTTAACCATGGAAGCCGATTGTATTCAACATGTTAGATTTTGCCATCAATGTCAAGTTTATGGAGATAAAATCAATGCTCCCCCAAATGAATTACATCAAATGTCTGAGGCATGGCCTTTTTCAATGTGAGGCATTGACATTATCGGACCAATTAATCCTAAAGCATCAAATGGACACCGCTTCATTCTAGTGGCTATCGATTACTTCACCAAATGGATCGAAGCCAATTCTTATGCTCACGTCACTGCGAAAAGTGTGGTAAAATTCATTCGTCGAGACATTATCGCTCGATATGGGGTTCCAGAAGCAATTATCACTGATAACGGGTCAAACTTGAATAACAAAGTAGTGGATGAGCTACTCAATAAGTTTCACATCCGCCACTTGAATTCTTCTCCTTACCGCCCACAAATGAATGGAGTTGTGGAGGCGGCAAACAAGAACATAAAGAGGATTCTGTCCAAGACGGCAAAGAATTACCGAGATTGGCATGATCGATTGCCGTACGCGTTAATGGCTTACAGAACTTCTATTCGCACTTCGACTGGGGCAACACCATTCTCATTGGTATATGGAATGGAAGCAGTTCTACCTGTGGAAGCGGAAATTCCTTCATTAAGGGTACTTTCGCAAATAAAGCTTTCTAAAACAGAATGGATTCAACAAAGATTTGAATAGCTTAACATGGTTGATGAAAAAAGGGTAAAAGCCCTGTGCCATGGACAAAGCTACCAAAAGCGAGTGGCTAAGTTATTCAACCGTAAGGTTCGACCCAGGCATTTTGAGGTCAATGATCTTGTCTTGAGGAAAGTCCTACCCATCATTCCAGATCGTGGGAAGTTCACCCCCAATTATGAAGGACCGTATGTCATCAAGAAGGTGTTACCTGGCGGAGCATTGATTCTTGTAGAAATGGATGGCCGAGAATTGCCAAAACCTGTAAATGCTGATGCTGTCAAGAAATATTTTCCATGAATAAAAAGCCTTTGAGCTGTTTTTGGATCGAATCCAAGTCATTTTAGGACATTTGCATCATGCATCTCATGCATACATAGCATTTTTGCATATTTGTTCATTTTGCAGAAACTCAGCTGTTCCCTAAGGAGCCTATTCCAAGCCCCAAGGAATCAATCTTAAGAAGGCATCTACCAAAAAACAATCTTCTCCCCAGAGCTTAGGAAGTAGATCTTATTTGTGAGGACCTTTTTCTGTCCGAAAAGTTTTTCAAATTTGAAATTTTGCTTAAAAAAATCCCCAGAGGAGACAACAAATCATTTCACCAAAAAAAAAAAATCAAATGATTTGATTTATCAAAATTCCCCACAGACGGGAGATTTAACTAAATGATCCTTTGAAAAAAGCAAAAAGGATTTCTCAAAAATGCCAAATGGAAATGCCTAGGATGATAAAAGGCAAACATTTGATTAAACACGTCCCTATACACATTTTGAGAGAATTGAGCGAAAAAACCATGTCCTAGGACGTAAGGTTCGTTCACATTGAATACATGGATTGAAATGATAAAAGGCATTTCATTTCTCTATCCTAAACACTCATTTTATCCTTTGCTAGCCACTTTGAGCCAAATAAGGAGAATTTTCAAAATACCCCTGTCAAGAACCACCCCACATTGGGGCAAGTTAGAAGGTTGTAGTTGATCATTTTTGGAGCAAAAAGATTAAGAAAGATTTTATTGCTTTCACTTGTATCAACCTTCTTGTGGTAATTTCAGGTGGATCTTTATGGAAGCTCGAAACATCCCAAAGTGAAGAAGAGCATTCTTTTCCTCTACCCAAACAGAATTATCCCTTGCTTAGCCAAATTGAGCCTTAAGCATGTTCATTTCAAAGCCCAAAATGTTGATTATCTCCCTACATTGGGGTAATGCATATGATTTACCAAGAAAATTTGAAAAAATTGGTGAATATGTATAGAGTGTCTCGAGAGTCCAAAGAGCTCAAAAGATAATATTAGGGGGCATGAAAAAGCAGTGTGCCTGATAAAAGCAAGGCCGATGCCCATGAAAAAGAAAATATATCAAAAGCAAAAGCAAAAACAAAAAGCAACATGCTTATGATGAAAACGAAATTCCCATTGCAAAAGATGCTTAGAAAGAGCAAAGCTCTTATGTTGCAAGGAAAATGGACTCTCGAGACAATTTGTTTTTCAAGAGTCAAATGATGTCAAATTTGGATGATTTGGTAATGATGCCAAGATAATCATCATTTCTCTTTCAAACCCCTTCTACAAAAATTTCAAGCCTTTTGAGCCTAACCCGAACCGACATTACAACCCTCTCCGAAGTCTTTTCCGATTGGGATGGTTTGAGTTTGATGTAAAGATTTCACAAAGAAGCTACCGCTAAAAGGAGTGGAAGTAATCCTATCTTATCTTATCTTCAAGGTTCTTGACTTGTAAACCCGCTGAAGATATTGATGATATATTTCTTTTCTTGGCCTCAAAGCAAATACCCTTTGTGTAAGCCCATGACCAAGCCTATATTACGGTCCTTTTGAAAGACCTTTCTGATCAATCAATTTGTATTCAATGTGAACGTTTCCGAAAACCTTTAACATAGGTTCATGAGGCATCACCAACGAGGATTGAATAGCTTTCCCACATCAATGGATGGGAATCAAAGCCTTTATGAGAGCCAGTGCGAAAGACCTTTTTGATTAGGTTATTTCCAATTTGGCATTTTTTATCTAACCTATTTAGATGGTTATTCAAAGATCATTTTGTTAAAATTTCCTCTTAAGGATTTTGATAATCAGTGTCTTTTACCAAAATATGAACAATACCGTTTGATTTGTCATTAAACAATCTCGGAACTTTTTTCAAAATATCTTTCCCCAGTGGATCGGTTTTTGGTCATCCTAAACCATAACCCCTATTTCGGTTTTTGGTCATCCTAAACCATAACCCCCATTTCGGTTTTTGGTCATCCTAAACCATACCCCCATTTTCGGTTTTTGGTCAGCCTAAACTATAACCCCCATTTTAGGTTCTAGGTCATCCTTAAACCTTGTCCTTGGTTCCTGGTCATCCTTAAACCTTACCTTAGGTTCTAGGTCATCCTTAAACCTTGTCTTTGGTTCTTGGTTATCCTTAAACCTTACCTTAGGTTCTAGGTCATCCTTAAACCTTGTCTTTGGTTCCTGGTTATCCTTAAACCTTACCTTAGGTTACTGGTCATCCTTAAACCTTACCTTTGGTTCTAGGTCATCTTTAAACCTTGTCCTTAGGTTCCTGGTCATCCTTAAACCTTGTCCTTAGGTTCTAGGTCATCCTTAAACCTTGTCCTTAGGTTCTAGGTCATCCTTAAACCTTGTCCTTAGGTTCTAGGTCATCCTTAAACCTTGTCCTTAGGTTCTTGGTTATCCTTAAACCATAGATTTTCTACAAAACCACTTCTCTTTCATTTATTCCTTCATCCCACCATATGAGAGAGAGAAGAGAAAAATACATGAATGAGCTGACAATCCAAATGGTCAATGGTAAGTGCTTCAGGTAAGACTCTAATCAAATGTCTTTGTCTATAGTTTCTTTTATTTCCCAAGTGGAGTCGACTAAATATTTGCAGGTGTCAATTGGTCTTTGAGCGGAACCTCTTCGAACTCCCACTCAAAGAGGGGCAGCTGTTGACACCTAATTTTTAGCCGACGCGTCATTAAAAATAGAAAATTCGAGATTATGGTTTCCGATCGCGACGGAGCTCGTTTCTTGAACAAAAAGTGTCGTTTTTTAATTCTGTCTGTTGGCTTAGCCTCTGTAAGCGTTTTTCTATTCATTTCATGCAAAAACCCGAAAAAGTCAAACAGTTGACTTTCGAGTTGACTTTTTGGTCAATCCTTTGACCAAAAGTCAACCCCGGGTCAAATTGGGGCTTTCGCATAAAAAGATTCCTTTCAAGTCCAATTTCACTTTAGAAGTGGAAATTTCAGAAAAATTCAGAGATTTGATCATAAAATCAAACTCCTAGTGAAAAGTCAACTGGGGTTTGACTTTTGGTCAAACCTTTGACCAAAAAAATTGAAAAATACAAAAATACAAAAATCATCTTATTTTACATTCAATTTACCTTTGGCATTTGAAATTTTACAAAAATCGATTTAGAATCAACTTTTTCCCAATTTGCGGAATTTGATTCAAATCGGCCAAAAATGAAATTACTTCATTTCTAGTCATTTTTTAGGTTAGTTTCCTTCATGACATTTGATCTAGAGGTCATCTTATATTCAATTTTGGAACCAATTTTGTAATTCCAAGCCAAACACAAAAACCCCCGATTTTGGCCATAATCAGTGATTTGGATCGATTTTTCATGATTTGCACAATTGAGGCACGAATGAGCCTAATTTCTTATATGAAGTCCAAATCCAAAATCAATTTTGGAAGATTCACATGAATTTGAGTCAATTTGATCAATTTAGTGATCTAATGATTAAGAAGTCTAAGGGTAATTGGTCTAATCAGTGCAATTCAACTTGACCCACTCTAGACTAATATTCAATTTGATGAATTGAGACTCAATTTGGTTAATTGGACTTCAATTAAATTTGTTAGTCTAGCTTGGCCATGCAATTACCCAAATTCAAGAGCAATTGAGACAAACAAGTTAAATTGGATCAATTTGTGCATCGGTTCAATCCAATTTGATTGAATTTGATATTGATGGGGTCAATTAATCATGATAGAGATCAAATTGTACCAAATTGGAACAAATGGAATCAAGTAATGAACTAGTTCAATCAGGCCAAATTCGGGGCTAACCGGCTCAACCCGGTTTGATTCAAATTGAATCGGTCCGATCAGACTGGCCATTTTCCGATCGAAAATCCGACGATCGACGGTCCATTCCGGCTAGCCAAGGCCGGCCACATCCTTTTGAGCCCAAAAATGACAAAAATGCCCTTAATTGAAAATTACGAAAATGCCCCTAAGTGAAAATAACCAAAATACCCTTCATTAAGGATTAAGCAAATTAATTAGGGGATAAACAAATCAATCATGGCCATTCATTTAGAATTGATCATGTCCATCCATGATGCCATGTCACCAATCCTTAGCCCTTAAAGAATATTCTTAATCATTAAGGATGCATTTTAGGCCATTGGATCAATCTAAGGGCTAAGATTCAAAGTTGAGGGGAGTATATAGTGTTTTTTCCCTCCAAAATTTGGGGAGGACACTCATTTTCAGATCTGGATTCTCTCTCCTCTCTCTCTCTAAACTCACGTTCTCTCTCTCTCTAGCTCACGCCTCTCTCTCTCTCTCGTGTTCTCTCTCTCGGCCAGCCGGCATTCCGCCTCATCGCCGGCCAATTTCCGGCGAGCTGCTGCCCCACCGTTGTCCCCCACGGTGGTCCAAGGCTGGTCGCAAGTCTAGCCTCCTTCGCTGGTGGCCGGAGCATCCATTTCCGACGGCCTCATCCTCTCGGCAACATCACCGGCGGTACTGCCGGTGATGCGATCAGCCGGTTCAAGTGGCTGAACCGGATGATCGGCGTCCCTCACGGCGGTCCCGATCCTCCAGCGATATTCCTCAACATTTCCGTGCGGCTGTGGTGTCCATTTGATCGTTTAACAGCCACCGGATCGCATTCCTTGATTCAATTTTCCATTACTAGTTTATTCGTGCTATAACGGATCGATTCTCACTATATTTTGTGCGATCTATTATCATAGGTTGGCCGAGCTTTCCGAGGCTTCTCCGTGCTGTCCTTGATCTGAATACGGAGGCCGGATCGCTCGATCGTGCGTCGAAGCATCGTTAAACAAGGTAAGTGCACTTGAACGTGATTCTGCGAATTCGTGTTCTGGAAAACCTGCACGTTTGAGATGCTGATTTGAGTTTGTTAACGTCGAAATCTCGCAAAACGATGAACTAGGGAATCATAGAACGCGTTTTAAGCTTCGATTTGACATATTGCATGCCTCGATCGGACTTGATTTGCTATGTCAAAACACTGTTAG